CATAGATATCCCGCGGCCAGGTTCCGCTGCAGGAAGCAGCGACGCAGGGAGTTAGCATATATTCTATAAACGTATACGGTGCTGGATACGAGAACGGAAATAAGAATAAACTACGCGGCGTACCAAGGATCGGATTCTGGAGGAGTATTTTCTGAAACCCGTACCTTGAAGCGGCTAAAGAAGATACCCAAGTCTCGCGTTAACTTCTTATGTGAGTTCAGCGCTGTGTACCGAGAGCGTGCATACCGATTACTTCGGGCCCGACGTACAGCGTCATTATCTAGCGTTCTATTAATCTAGATTTGCAAGCGTGGAGTGTGGTATCGCAGTAATGATACGAGGCACCCGGGTTTCCCGTTATTCGTCGTAGCGCGACGACCTTACGTTTCTATCACGATATTAATGGGATGTTGTTTCTGCCAGAAACGAGAAACTATGAGACAGGATTCCGTAAGTAAATATAATCCCCGCTCATGATTCAACGCACGCGGAATTTCATTTTGGACGCGCGAAGAGATATATCGTAGATGTATAATGAGTCCCGGCGTACGTATGATTGATATTTCAATCGTACAAGTGTCAAGTTTGCCGCGTACGTTTGCACATCTTCCGTTTGTTGAGTGCTTAGGGCTTTGTATTCCCTACAATAAGAGCTCGTTATTTCGGCTAATAATGTGAACACAGCACTTAAAAAAATAACGTTGCGGGATTAACAATTGTATTTTTAATAAATTTTAATAGAAAATTACATTTGTAACAAGAGCAGAGTTTTTTTCAAGGAGCACGAAAGAAGGAAAGATGAGTCATTGCAAAGCTTTGCTTCAGCTGAACTGTTACGATTATGAATAATTTATCTTTAAGTAAAACTTGTAAAGATTTTTATAGGCGCGTGTTCTGCGACGCTAATTCATGTAATTCTATGTTATGTTAGTTGATACTATCTCGTAACATTTAACGGAATCCCCAAAGTAGCAGGGGGAAAGGTTAAAATCATTATTTATAATACATAGGAAGGAGCTGTGGAGAGTAGTTTGTCGCCTATATTGGCACTTTCTGTAAGTACGTTTAATCCTATTATCGGCTAACGATTGTGGACGGTCATAGTTGTCTTAACTTGTCTAATTATCAGTGCCCAACTTGTTGCTCGCAAACTGAGCAGAACAATAGTTGCTCAACAAGGTGCGGCTAGTTATCAAAGTTTACTAGGATTCCGCCTTTGAGGGTCCAATTAGTCGGCAAGCTATGCAAATTTCAGGTACTTACCTATCGTGGATAGCTCCAAGTCCGATAATAACGAATTAGACACGAAACAAGCAAATATTTGCAAGTACATATATATATAATATACGTATATACATATATAATATGGGTTGTATTATCCGAGAAATACTCGAGACCACGTAATATTACGATTTTTTACATGTACTTGTGGCAAGAAGACCAGACATACATGAAGTGTATCAAAGTAAAAAAAATTATTACTTTATTATACCTAAATTTTAATGTATTATTGTAAAAATTACCGCTCGTAATATTATTGGCCTTTCATCCTTGATATTTAATAAAGACGAGCTTGTGTCAATTGTCTCGGTGAAAAAATTTCTTACGGTAACGCAATTTTACTAGAAAAATATATTATTTTATTAACCTGCAATTTGAACAGCTTGGACGTGTTACGAGTAGAGACGCGTTATCTTGCGTTTGCAATCATTTTTCAATTTATTCTCTTTTTCAAATTTAATATGTATCTTTATTATAGAATATTATTTGACGTATCTTTTAAATACAGAAATAATATTAAATGCGTGGGGTCCGAAGGCAAAGTATGTCTGCAAGTGCCGTAAAAAAAAGCTGCTATCACAGGTACCGCGCTTCATTCTCAACGATATCCTCCTGTCACTTAATCGCATCGTCCGTAACTTACGACTACGATCTACGGCCATCAGCATCGCGAAATCATATTGCATGCCCGGAGGCTATCGTCGTTACAGAAGGCGATCTGCAATTACTGGATATTAGCTACCTCCATTGGCAATCTGTGGCGATCGGAATGCTTTCATTAATACCACAGAGAATGTAGTTATTTAGGGTGGCACGTACGGCAGGCTTACGCAGAGACGTGATTTACGAGCCATCTCGCCGGCTCTAATATAGAAATAGATGAACCGATCGCGGCTTTCTCGACATAACGCCCCGCAGCTTGTGAAAAGGGGGTTGGGGGGGGGGGAGGGGAGAGGCAGAGGGAAGAGAAAAAAAAGGAGAGAACGCTCTGGTTTTATCTCGCCTCGGGTGCAAAGTAATCTCGCAACGGAGCTTCATCCGGCCCTCAGCTATGCGCGGTGCCGATAGCGATATCTCCTCGCTTGATTCATTAGCGTGGACAGTAATTAAGGTTGTTATGGGCGTGCAAGAAGCGCAAAAGTCCCCGTGCAAAGTATAACCGATCGTTTTGCCCGATCGTGCAACTGATAACGCCCGGGATCGGTTGGAGTGGACGGACGGAGTGGATGTCCGATCGCGATTTATGGCGCGCCACAATATACGCGCGGTGCTCCGGCGCGTATCCTTGCCGCGATAAATCTCGCTCAAGAAATACAGCGAACTCGGCGGGACTCGATTATATTATTAAAATTGCGGCAATGAATCGCGTGTCAATTTCATACAATTGAGATAACGGTGAGATAAACGTCCCTCCGTAACAACTTAATCGATTAGGAATTTGCAGCTTTCACGTGTCGCCCTTGCGCAAGAGACGTGACGCGATTGAAAAATATGGGTTTTGCGTTTTTACAATTTGTCAACTCGAGAACGCGCTTTATTTTTATCCGAAAAAGCGTCATGAGCGTAGTTTAAGATTATGAGAAGACGGAATGCTTAAAAGGAAAATACGATTGACACATTGTGGAGAAAGATCTATAGAGATAAGAAAACTGGGGGAAAGGACGAAAACAATTTAGCAGACTGTGTTTGTGCAGATTAAAAGTTTAAAATCGTTCTCCCGTAATTGCTATTTTTGACCTGCGTCACGTTTCTCGCGCAGGGGCGATATATTGATTTTTGTACAAACAATTAATACATAATATCGCGAACATTTGTAATAACAGCGCGGCGTCTAGCGGCGTAAATAAATGGTCGAGCAATGTGTCGTGAAATATGACATAAAAAATTGCCTTTTTTTCTATGTGAAACGGGATGTAACGAAGCGAGTAATACAAGATACGTAACTGAATTCACGGCGGCCGGGCTGAATTACCCAGAAACCGTCGTGATTGCGCGACGCGCGACCCTAAAAGTTAAATTAGATCTCACCCCCGGGGGATGAAGAATTTGCTCACGTGGACCGCGAGTCGCGGGCAAAGAAACTCGTCGAGTTATTACCGCCATAATCTAGCGCACTAAAAGTTCCCGCTGTCCCTTGGGGTACGAAATAAAGCTTACGAATGAACACGTACACGCCGTAACATTCGGAATGATTCTCGGAGGGTGCATTTACATACATTACTAAGTGCTTTTTATCGTACTTTCTGCGCGGAAGGATCGCCCGTCCATCTTGTTACGACGTTCAAGTGCCGGTGACGTACTTCCGGCACCGGATCACGGAGAACGTGTCGATGAAATTAAACGGAAACAATTTTGCACGTCAATTAATGTATGCGATAATGAGATCGCGCGAGATTCTGTCATTAATTATCTCCAATTAGCAGTAGCTGCGGGCAGCGACGATATTTAATTGCACGTAGAGACAGCGGGACAGGCTCTTTGCGGACCGATGCGTAAAATGTACATTTATAATTTAATTTAAATCCACGGGAAGCGATGAGGAATAACGATCGCTACGTCGGGTGCCATTCCGGCGCAGCGAGAGACGCGGGCTGCGTTTCTCGGAGTTTCCACAATTACGCGAGCAACGGCGGGCGGGCGGACGGATAGTTAAATAAGAGGATCTTTCCAAGTAATGGCAGATAACCAAAGCGCCAAGTTTGCGAGCGCGGAGTTACCGGCGCGGCGGCGGACGCGGAGTCGTCCGTCATCCGGAACTTCTTCCCGCTAATGGCACCGCGTGGCAGCGTTAAAGCGGGAGTTGGTGTCGCGTACTTTATGAAACGACATCGCGACGCTTAACGTCAGCGGAGCTCGTTAATCGAGTAAGAAACCGTCTAATTATTCCGTTTGAGCGCCGGTATTTCCCGAAACGGCGCGGCCACAAAAAGCGGCGGTGCCGCCCTGCGCCGCGCTGCGAATCCTCCGCGATACGCTTTCACATTGTTCAAAGGCGAACGGCACGATTGCTCTACGCCGATTAATTCGGTTCATGTGCGAAATAATCATGTGAAGCGCGCGATTCCAATATTCGTTTAATACCATTAGATTCTGGAGTGCGGAAGGTTCGTTGCATTTGCCCGACAAAGTTAAAAAATATGTAGTGAAAACAAAGAAAAATTATCTCTCTCAAAACTTAGTAAGTTTAGGTTAAGAGTTTTATTTAGGATAAGTGGACGTTGTAGAAATAAGTGTAAGATCGTAACCCTAAGGGGAACAATAAAGATTATTATTATTAGTAACAAAGGAAAATGATCTCTTGCAATTTATTTATTTTCCCTTTTGGAAGAACTTTGATTTTTTTTATTTCTACTTGACACAATTTAACACAAAGTTGCGAGAAGCTACAAGAATGTAGAGAACGACTTGTTTATTAATCAACGGTATGAAATATTTATAATTTTATATATTACACGATAATTAATATTGAAATATATTAATAAAATCAAGGCTCTCCTTCGATTTGGTTTTAAAATCTTAGCACTCAATCAAGCGTTTCCTTAGTTGAGTGCGGATTAAGAGATTACACTGTACATGTTATCATAATGAAGCACTTACCGTTCACACCGGTGTAGCTGCTCCTTTGTCTCTTGGAGGGATAATAAGGCGGATTATGGATTCGGAAGTTCGCCAGGCGTGATTCGCGCGAAATGAAATACGCGCGGGTACGAGACGAGTTCTCGTTTGAATCTCTTCCATCGTTTATTTCTATTCACAGTCAATAAATTAACACTTATCGTTGGAAATCATTACGAGAACCGAGAGACGATGAGAATTATGTGTGATTCGTGTGTGTGTGTGACCATCTATAAATTCCGCAATTAATCAATAAATACAAAATCAGCTTATAAAAAGGTACGGCGATGCGCGCTAATTCGCGCCCGCGTCTCGCCGCTTCTCTAGATCTGTTGTGTTCTTTATCGCTTTATTACTTTATGTACATTATATTCGTTAATCACGCGAGAAGAATGGACTAGACCGCTACGTAAACGCTTAATTTCATTCGACCCTAAGCGCCGCGCTTGGCGCCGCGCTTCGTGGCGTTTGCTCGATCGGCGAATAAATTTATCTAAGCGATCGCTCCGCCGTCTCGGGGGGTCGTGCAAGGCGACGCCGTAGGCCTTCCTTTCGTCAGCGACTCGCATCTCCCTTAAGGTACGCTTAAATTATCTATTTCGATTACTGCGCCTTGGGTCTACGATTAGAATGAATTTACATCAAATGCTGCGTTTTTTTTTTTCTCCCGAGCTAAATAAAATCACTATCGTGTCTATTCGTACTCTCATAAACTCGTTTACTAAATTTAACATCGCGTCTTTCCCTCTCGCCTTTGCTCTCCCATCTCTCTTTCTCCCTCACGCACTGTTGCGCACACGCGCGCACGCACGCACACAGACACACGCGCACACACGCGCATACTCAATTTTCAATCATCCCTCTCATCCTTCCTCGCTGTTTCAGCCCACCCTTTAATAACAACCACTTCACTCATTCTCTACACATGTTGGTACTCTCGATGGAACGGATAAACTAGCAGACATCACCGAAATCGACGTACCGTTTATCGGGTACGTCCTCCCGGTACGCGCCTCCCTCTCGGATCGTCGGATCATCGCACAAACTCGATAAAAAAAGTGCCCGCTGATGGAGCTCGCCGCGCGGGCGGGACGCGACGTAAATCTCGATATTGCGAAACTTCGGTCTCGACACGAAAATCGCACGCTGCGGCCGCGATCGAGCGTTAATCGCATTAATCAATCTCGACGTCGATGGAAGCAACTTGCGACTACTCGTTCGGTCTAATCACAGGCCCGATTTCCGGGCCGATCGGCGTGTTCATTGTCCCTCCTTCGACTCGCTTCCTCGTGCGATCGTAGCGCGCTCTACGTTACGTCGATATTTTTGTGTAAAAATTGTACGTGCGAAACATTCTCAACGGGCTGTTATGCGCGATAATGTACTTTAGATACGATAAACACTTAAGTCACGGCAGGTTCCGTAATCTCCAATTATCGATCGCTTTGACTCATGTCGGAAATATCGCCGCGGCCCCCGTCACACGTTAATATTCACACCATACAGTTTATTCACTCGTGCTCTTCCGAAGCTACTGCTCGACACGTTGCCGATTGTTATCTCTCGATCGTCTAGGATGATTGAAATCGTGTCCATTTGGGAATTTTCTTTCAATTAATTTGTCAATGAGTGACTGCAGCGTTTATCCGACTGTGGCGTAACGTGACATCGCGATAACTCTTTAATACTACTGATCGCCTCCGCAAGCTGTCCGCCGATATCGTTTCGATCGTTCGTTCGCGGCGGGCGCGCGTTCCTCTCGTGTACCTTAATTTCTCCCTCTCCTCCTATTTTAATTAATAATACGCTCCGTCGCTGCGTCTCGTAACAGCTAAAATTATTACTTACGATTTATTATTATCCATCGGGCTTTTCTCGGCTCCTCCCGTACCTGTTCTCGCGGCCCCTGATTTCTCTGATTGCGCTCCCGCGTCTCATAAATTCATCTATGATTTTACACTATACAAGAGATGTACACAAGATCCAACGGCACGATATAATGTGTATATCGCGTATGTATAGTCTATAGTCTTAAGTTTTGGCAAACGGGCAAGGTCAATACAAAACATCGTTAAGTCCTACGCGTAATATTATCTATGTACATACAAAATCTCTGTAACTTTCAACGTTTTCCTCCCGTGGCGTGGTCAATATACACACATGTACAGGTTTTACCATCGTGTCGAAGAAACTGACGGGTCGCATCGACGATGGGGGATTGTCGGTCGTCAATTGTAAGCAGAGTCCGAGTGCGGCGTAATCGGCGCCGGTTCCATGGGGAGGGATCTTCGTGGTTCTCGCTACTCCGTACAAAATTATACGTGCGAAAGTAAGCAGGAGGAGTGCGTCTCCTCGCGGGTCGACGTTCGAGTGCCGGGCTTCGTTGAAAAGTCGCGTAAATAAGCTAAGTAAGTGAAAAACGCATCGTAAGGCATCCTGTGATAATCCGCGCATTTCTCTGCTACCGCGTAAGATGGGATCCTCACGTGTCTTGCGCGCCGTAAAGCGAAAAATTGTCTCGAGTGTCTCGGGCTGATTCGTGGCCGTCTCGTTCGCGCACGTTTACGCATGGCCTTTCACGCGCGACGAGATCGGACGAACACGGTACAAAAAGCGAGTCCAAAATATACGATAAGAGATCGCCGTTCAACGAGAGACGAGAACTCGATAACGCTGGCAGTTTTTGACGAACTCGCTCGTCGGGCGAACGATATAGCATTTGTAGTGATTAATCGCGAGGTCGTCCCAGACGAAGATGAAATCGACAGATAATATCGAGCGCGAAATCAAAACTAACGGACGCATAACGTTATATCGAATCTTCATTCGTGTGTTTTCCTTTACCGCTCTTTCGTTCTTTCTTTTTATTTATTGTACGTAATGGATCGTGACGACGATTCGCGCAACGCAAATGACGGTCGCCGGCCATTGTTCCTTCCCTTTCCTACCTATTCGACTTGAAATCGTTCGTTATATTGCTACTGTATCACATAGTATTCACTTATTATTATTAATTACACGGCTATATGTAGGCGCGATGTGACTTGGCGGTTGCGAGGTGCCGAGAGCTATTCGAGGTGCATCTCGCTTGGACCGAACGCGGACGTAAACGCGAAGAAACTTCGCCTTGATGTGCTCCGGGGAGCGTTTAGTTAGAAATTCTTGCCTCGCTTCTTCCCAACGCGCGTCCGAGGACACGGGGTAACGAAATGTTGCCCCTCGACATCAATGTCGGGGAGACGCTACATCGAGAGACATTAGAATGTCGATTCGCGCTCACGGCAAGAATTGTGAAATCAAGTGAGACCCTCGGTACACTGCCAACAACAATAACAGGAAATGAGATATTGCTTTGCGAGATATTTCAAATCGAGATGCGATTGAGCGCGCGTTAATCGTCGCAACGAGCGGACACGGCGGCAATTATTATCTATCAGCAATCCCGCTACAACTGCTTTAACTCTGCGAGTCATCCGAAATGGAAGAAGTACCTTATCACCAAGTACGCTCGTCGGGATCGCTTATTCGGGAATTACACATGTCTCCCGCTGGATATAAAACGTTCGGGATGTCGATTGATCCCGATACTGCCCAAGTGTATCTCGTGGACGAATCGTAGGCACCGTAGCCTCAAGACGATCGTGATCGCGTAACCCTTTGAATCCGAAGTAAGGCCGCTCCATTGTCGGTTAAAATTGCGCGATCCCCTTATCTTTGTACCTCTTACCTTGGAGCTAAAGTCGCGCCGGCCTACCGAATTCTCGCGGTTCTTTTCATTGGTAGCTCCCGTCGTTGTTTTGACTCTTGTTACCGCCCTGGGAAGTCGGTGACGCTCTGCTGAAGGTACCGAAGTTCTTGGTCGGCGAGTCCGACGCGGCGCTGGCGGTAGCGAGCACCTTGTCCCTGGGCGGAGGTGCCGAGCTGATGCTGGACGAGCTGACGCCGGAATCGCTCGACTTCTCGCTGAGGCAACCGCGCTGGCTGAGGCCGGTGACGTTGCCAGTGCTCTCGAGAGCGAGGTCGCTGGTACCACCGACCATGTACTTGACCATGCCGCCCAGTTTCTGGCCGCCCTCGCAGGCGTCCTCGATCACCACCGTATCGCCGAAGTTGCCCCTCTTCGCGATGTACCGCACGTTGCCGCCCCGCAGTAACGGCGATTTCTCAAACTGCCCTTCCTTCTGGCTCGCGATCGCGCTGGAAATCGGTATATTGGGATGAAAGTCGTCCTTCGCGTCGGTCAGACCGCTATCCGTAGCGCCAGTGCTGTTGGTGTTCTTCGTGACAGCCGTTGCGCTGTCTAGATTGTTCTCCCTCGACAGGTTCGACGACGTCGTAGTTGATTCCGGGCTGATGGTCCGTCGGCTGGTGGTATTCTTGTGCGCGTCATAGCAGCCGGAGTCCCGTGGGAACTGGCGTCGGTTAAACGGAGAACAGTGGCCGGACGTCTGGCCGGAGGTTAAGACCAGACGACTGACCTCGTCGCCCTCTGAACTCGAGGCCAGGTCACCCTCGCTGCCCGCTATAAGAACAGGCGGGAAAAGAGCGCGTGCGTGCGTCAAATTTCATGACCGATTCGATAAATAATCATTAGATAGTGATACTTTTGACCAAATATGTTCGAAACGTGCACAAATATATCATATTATTATATGCGTGCATTTTTGCAACGAGCTCTCTTTAAATACGTCTATTTCTGAAAAACAGATCAAAACAAATAGGGAAAAATAAAACTTAATAAAATTTCAGAACTTTTTATTGCCACGCACTTTTAGAGAGAGCGAGAGTATCCCTGGGGTTTTAGTAATAGTTTAAAGTTATTACACTTTTAATCTCTCTTGCATCGAATAATAAAAGAGCTCTCCCATTTACACGAAATTACAACGTGATTTTAAAGATGTATAACTTGTATTAATTGTAACATGATATATGCAGCAAGACAAATAGCAACGATGATGAAAAGGGCTTTGGGGAGACGTGAATAATACATATGTAGCCGCTATACGTTCGGTATACTCACACTGAAGATCGTGCAGGAGTTGCACGGCGGTGAGTATCTTGGCACGATGCTCGGGTTGATGTATACGCAAATAGTCCAGATCCGCCGCCTCTAACTCCCTGAAGAGCTCCAGATCCTCGTATCCGTTCAGCACAAAAACTGGAATATGTTCCTGCGCGAGCGTAACATTCATCTTTGAGACGCTACTCCCACCTTAACAGAGCTTTGAATAGTTCGCTTGTACAATGAAACGCGCTCGCAATTTAATACACTTGGAAGAAGCTTACGGAATTCTTATAAAATTACCCTTAAGAAGCTTACGGAATTCCCTCCCCAGCGACATTTCTCACACTTTGATCGGAAAGCGTCGTTCAATTGAACGTTATATATCTCCGCGTGATTTGAAAATGGAGGACGCATTGAAAATTCACGATCTTAGCGAAAGGTAAATTTCAGAGAAAAATCGAAAATGTTTTTTTACACTCCGTAACTTTTTTCCTACTCGCCAGATCTTTGCGTTTCGCGCGCGAAAAGCGTTCTTTGCAAAATGCACGATCTCGATACGACGAGACTATGTCCAAGTGTTAGGACAAAAGATCTCCGTAAGCTCGATTTAGCACGGAAGGGCATCGTAATTATGACCAAGTGCGCTTCAAAGAATCTAAAGTCTCCCGTGATCTCTTAGATGTTCAATAATCAAACATCTCAGACGGACTGTACAGTTATGCGAGATTTAACGACGGTCTCGAGCAATCAGCCGGGAAGAAGATACTTTGGATCTCCATCCGCTGATATAATTCGCACAGAGGGCCATTTGGGCTTCAATTAAGTGTATACCGGGACGTTGAAAAGGGCGCACGAATCTGCGACGCTCATTAAGCGATCGATCATAGCGGCTTAATTAAGTGGCACGGCTTCCTGAATCGGAAACGACGTTTCCGGTACAGCGACTCCTCGCCCTATCATTTCGTCCCATCCCTTCCTGTCGCTTCCGTACCTTCGACTCTGGAGACTCTGCGAGACACGCCTCTTGACAGTGAATCACGATCGAGACTAATCTGTCGTCAAATCGCGAGACTATACATAAGATCCGAGAGAATTACCGGATGTGCTTTTAGTCGTAGATTGTGACAAATTTAAAATCAATTCTCTCTTCTAAAAAGAAAATCGCAAGGAATAATTGACTATCGATTTTTCTAACATGCAACATAAAATGTCGATGTGATTAATATTGTTAAGTCTTTAATATATGACAATTTGTAATTAATATAATTAACAGTCTTACGTAAAGTTTCTCTATTAAGATAAAAATAAAACTAGCGAAAAGTAAAGTGAACTAAAAATAAGATTTTATTATCCATTTAGATTCTTGGAACTTATTAATTTCATAACTGATAATTTCATTTAAAAAGAATTGCTAATTTTATAATTTTAATTTTCAATGTGAGAAATTGGAAGAACATTTCATGTATTTTCGGGATATACCGTGCACAGCGAATATTGGAGAGATAAATCAGAAGGAAAACGAACGACCAGAAGGAGGTGAAGGAAATTTCGGGACGTATATGGCAGGTGAGGATAAAAATGAGCAAGGCGGAGACAAGGAGCGAGAGGCGGAGAGAGAGAGAGAGAGAGCAAAGGAGACGAAGAGGGAGGAGGGAATCGAACAAAAAGGACTCGTCACGGTCTGCGGGGCCTGCAAGTTGTATAAAGTATAAGCTGGAAAGCTGATGCGGGAGGACGCGAGAGAAGGGACGACGGTGGAGCGGGGAGTGGGAGCGCGATAGGGACAAGGAATAAAGAAATATATAAAAGCAAGTTCTCTACTTTGCATTCGACGCCATGCAAATGCGAATCAGTTTGTTCGAGCCGCGGCGAGATATTGCTCTCGCTCCCGCCCTCTCTTTCTCTCTACCTGAAGATTCATTCTCTGCAAGAGCTCTTGAACGGAACCCGGCTTCTGCCTGTATCTCTGACCCCACTTGCTCCGTTCCGGCTCTCCCCGCCTGGGCACCCTGTCGTTCAGTATCTCGACGTTTATGAACTTGAAGTGGCCTATCCTGTTGTGCACGACGCCCTTCCACAGCCCGCTCTTGTTCATCTGTACCACATCGATTACGTCCCCCTTCTGAAACAACGTTGCCACACGAGGATTCGTAAGGGAAAACCCTTTCGTCGCGACACGTACGATCGAATCGCGCGTTATCAAGTTTCCTCTTTGTGCAGCTCGAAAAGCAGAAGGTGTAATAAAGCGCGCGGTAAAGAAAGACACGCGGGTTTCAATGTAACTTTCGCTCGGAGTTAATTAAAAGTGGCGAGCAGTAATGCGAGCGCAGGTACATCGTCAATTATACAAGTCGCGTTTGCGGGCGAATTCGCCGCGTCGCTCACGCTAATGGTGAATGGAGTTTCGCGTGGAATTTTGGTCGCAGATCGATTATCACGGACCTTGAACTTGAGCGCGTCCTTGTCGTACGGACTGGGCGTGTAGTCCACCAGTGCCCTCGCTCGACACAGGACGGGGCCGATGGACGTCGGGCTGACGGCATCCCTGTCCTCGCAGGATATCGAGCTGTGATTGCTTCCGGCGCGTACCAGAGCCTGCGTGCTCGAGCCGCTGCCGCTCGGCAGGCTCTCGACGCTGCTCGCGCTGCACGGGAACGCCTCCGAGGACGCGCGATCCTGGCGCAGCCTCGAGATCTTTCGCTGCACGTCGTGCCTCAAATTCCTCGCGCGGCCCGCGATACCCGCCCTGGCGTCGCCCTCGAGCAGGGCGCTGGCCTCCGACTGGAAATTTTAATTGAGTTTTGGAGAACATCGGGGTCGCACCGTGCCCGGAATACGTGCTCCATCGAATGCACCGGGAAAGGCAAGGCGACGTGCCGGTGGCGCGTTAATTAAATCGAGGAGCTATGTGAAATAGGGATCTCCATTGGCCGAGCCGTTTTCAATAATGCATTTATGGCGCCCTGGAATGTGACACGATAGAGAGTTGCGCGCGGGCCGATGCCTGACGTGAAAAGTATATCATCTTGATCGGGTCTTGGACAGTCGGTTATTTACATTCAAGAAATAAACATTGTAATCACCGTCATCCGTTTATCGCTAAACCTTGCACATTTGTCTGTGTTACAAGTGCCCTCTTTTCAAAATATCACGTAGCTCCTCGAGTTCTTAAAAATAAGAACGACTTGGAACCGGCATTCATAGTCAGATATATTCCAGACCGTCTTGAATTCATCTAAAGTTGCTGTATGGGACAGTTCATTAACTACGGAGTATCTAAAGATGATCTGAAGACGGTCTTAAATATAAGATCGGACTATGAATACTGGCCTATTTTCTTCGTTGTGTTCTACGCGTGCATTTGCATTGGAAACGATCGTGAGGTACAGAAGCGAACTATTCTTGTCTCCGAATCCGTACATTGACGTCAGCTCGCCAGTGGAATAGATCAACGTGTTGCGGTTGTATAATCCGTCCGGAGGTGCGGCGATGCTCGGGTATTTTTCGCAATTCTGAGACGCTACTCGTAAAGCATGCTGCATTAATGAAGCGGAATAGGTAAATGGTGCGAGCGTGAAATCCTCAGAGGAAATCAATGTGCGTTCGAAATAAGAATGAAGACGGAGCGCGCCAATTTCGTTTGCGTAAATTGCCATGCGATCCAATCTGTTAGAACGACGTGATCCTCTATACACGTATATACATCCGTATTTCCCGCTGGCTTACATAATCGCAATAAAACGACGTCACAGTAATGTTATGCCGTTATCCCGTTATCAACGTGAGATTGTACATTACACGTCGTTGTTATAAACGACGCGTTTATCAAGTGATAGACACGCTCATTATGAGGCGTATGACCAAAGCCCGTACTTATGACAGACAATCAACGACGTAACTGCGGCTTTAATGCAAATGCGAATTAGTTGTCGGATAAAATCGATGAACCCAGTTTTGCGTTATCGCTATTAAAACGTTAAAAGTCCTCGCGATTGAATGCCACGACATTTCACGATAAACATCTCTCTATTAATTATTAAATACTTTCATTTATACCTAATTGATTTCCTAATTTCCTACTTTTCTTTTTTTAGACTTTCACTTTTTGTCAACCATGTGAAAATTATTGTCGCTAAATTACTTGGCCGTTGAATTAACGGCAGAGAAATTTATTACATTTGCGTTTTAAGGACGTACATGCCTTTCCTCGAGATCCCTCATTTATTTGTTTCTCGAAGTTCAAGGCAGAAAATATTTCATAATACTTTTACTTAGTGCGAGTGCTGAGACCGCAAAAAGATACCATCTTTCTATGACGGAACAAAGAACGGAAGGGGGAAAGCAATACTTCGTGATTCTACTAATCGCCCGTCAGTGACAGTTGTGTGCACAGGCATGTTTTTCTTAGTTATCGTACTGTTTGGACGCGTTGCCTGTATCTATTCGTATAATAGTGACTGAGGACGCCATGTATCCGAGTATACGCGTAGAAATAGTGGAAAGGGGGGAAATAGTGCAGACGGAAAAAAATAGAACTAAAAACAGAATCTGCAGGTTCTCTCGAAGGACTACTCTCATGCGCTACGTACTGTATGCACGGCAGCCGAGTGTTGACTCTCGAGTTCTTCTTGATCCTCATAGTCGCTACTCTGGCTCGGCGACAGTCCCTCCTCGCCGCTACTCCGACTCTAAAATGTTGACACCTCGCAGAGACAATTCTAACGGTCGAATACGAAGGGAGAAGCGGGCACACTATGATGGATCTAATAGCGCGCGGATGCTGTTAGACAGGGCAACGATTACGGGCATATCGCTAGGTAATATCGGACACGAGACCGTCACCGGTGGTGTGAGCAGGTGTGAGAGGCACAAGAGGTATGAAGATACAGTACCCAATGTCACAAATATTATGTCGTACGTGCAAGCGCGAGTGCCACCTCGAAAGTGTCTATTATAACGTGCGACTAGTGTTTAGATATTATTACAACCTGTAATCCAAACCTGTATATTATTTTGGCTTAAGAAAAATTTTTGTAGTACCTATGTACATGTATAATTAAGAACTTATTATTTATTCGCAATATTACCACTCCACAAACAATTGCAAGATAAAATAATGTGGATACGATCTTTCTACACTGATAGAAAACATGATGGTTGCAGTTACCACAATCTTACTATAATTTATGATTATTTTAGGAGTCAACCACATTTTTATTATTCTTCGAACTACGTAAGTTATGATTGACCTAACAATGTATCATAGATACAATAATGGTCTATGCAACTTATGATATGGCTGTCCTAAACCAAAACGAGCTTTTAATTTGGTAAGGTGTACTATAAATATTGCAATAACAACCACAAGTAGACTTGCGACTAACTACATGTAATATACTACATATTTTTCTATCAGTGTATTTATATTCGTTGAATTATCTTTAAAATATGTAAAATTGCGCGTTTATTATGCTACGTTTAATATTCCTTTCGAGGTAACGTTCGCGATAAACTAAACAGTAGCAGCAGATATACATGAGTCAGGGGTTAAGTATGTAAGTGTTACACACGACGTGTTAACCACGTTACACACTCGATATGTTATATCAATAGAGGGGGGTGGGGTGGGGTTGCGTGTTACATGAGAAAATAAGTAGCGTATGCAGGCTACGCCGGTTTAGATGGGTTAGTGATATACTTAATATTGGCGTGTCAGTGTGTGAGTATTATTTATACACATAGAGGCTGTCAGTGCTGTGTAGGCGTCAGAGCAGGAAATGAGGCACCTTACTCTGGTGCTCTCATCAGATTATGAGGTTCTCCAGTTTTTGCTTAAACGTCAAGCACGATTATTATAAAGTTGCACGCCCGACTATCACGATTGAACTACAGTAAAGATACAAATGAAATATATAGATGTGTGTAAAGCGCAAACAGGGCCATGCTTCGACAACATTTTCAGAGATTTCATTTTTATCTCGGGACCTCGTACTTTCATCGGTCAATTATTTTTTATAATTCTATTAGAATTCGAGGTCCGACGAGAGTCCCGTTATTATAAATTGAGGAAAATTAAATATTAAAAAATACAATCTCTTGTAACTTCTAATTTCGAATATCCCAGCGATTAATCTCTGTATTACGTACGTCATTTAAAACTCTTAATTTCTTATATATTTTTATAATAATAATAATTCATCTTTATCACGATGCGTACAAACATCGATCGGCGAAAAAGAATGGGAAAGAATTATTAAGAAAGCACACATTTCCCGGCAGTTCAAACAAGATGCTGGTAAATGCTGAGGCTCTACCGCGGAAGTGGTATCCGATCGTTATCAAGTTTGCGAAGTCGACGAAGAATAACGTTTGCTCGGCGGACGAGGAAACTGGTGGATTCGACGTGATTTCAACGCAACCGCCGCATCGTCGGGCCGTCGCGCCCGATTCCTCGCAAACAATCCGTAAATCTCGCTGATTCTCATTGTCCGCCCGTCCGACGGATGGATCGAGTGGCTCTCGGTGCCTGGATTCACCGAGGCAACACACCGGAAACTGACCGTAGAATAGCAACATCTCTCTCTCGAACGTACCAGCCGTTAACGTTGTATGGCGATCGGCCACGGCGCGGCATCTCCGTGAGGAAATCCTGCGATCTGACCGACCCGAATAAATCTATATTCGCGAACACGCGCGTCCTCACACTTGCCGCATCTAATTAGCCGGAGTACTCTCCCGTCTTTCCGAAGATACCCGGACAAGCGTACACAAGGGGTGGGTTAGTAGTATGGAATCGCCTGGGTGTGCCTGCGGGAGAGGTAATGGGGAGAGAGAGCTACGTGGTCCATAGATTCGGCAGATACGAACATATCTGGGAACCGGGCGGCGTTGCGCGTTGCTTTGCGGTGACGTTGCGTCGGTGACGGTGTTGGTAACGGTCGTGCTAGTGGCGGCGGGGTGACGCTGATTGGGTCGGGGTGAGACCGAGTGGTGATGTTCGTGATGATGGCGATGGTTGTGACGGTGCTCGTGGTGATGCTCCGGCCGACCGCCCACCGGAGGCTGGTCGCTCCTACTCGTGTCCACCGACACAGTCGACAGTCTCGAGCTCACACTCTGCAGCCCCAAAATTAAATAAATCACGCCGTGACGTACGCCCGCGAGAAGGTAGGCGCTCCGACCTTTCGCCCCGCGTTGTACGCCCATGGGGATCCGCGCCGGTCGGATCTGCGCTTCTCACGGGGGAGATCGCGCTTGGGCGAGGGCTAAGGGAACCCGACAGTACCCACGTCCTGTACCCGCTGCGCTTATCGCAGCGCAGTGACTTAATGTAATTCCGCTATGGAGTGACGGCTGCGATCTAACGGGATTTATCCAGACTGGATTCGGTCCTTCGATATTACGCCTCGTCGCAATAATATTACCCGCGACTTAACGAGGTTCGTGACTTACTTGGGGCACGGTGATTCGGTAATTCCGAGCGGAGGAATAGCGAGGCGGGGCAACACATGCCGTTTCGTTCACTTTCTCAATGCTAATTAAACACGCTACCCCTAAACGCGGAGAACACATCGCAAAAATTTATTTTTAACGCTGGCTGTTTACCAGATGAAAACGTTCCGCCTGTACTAAGATATTAGCGCATGTAAGACGGTACAACTTGATTGTACTAGCAACAAAGGAATTTCCGCCTCAACACGACGCTGTTTGCAGTGCAACGTTTACAAAGTGATAGTTGCCCGGGATTGTCGCTCGTCGGCAACGGACTTACCTGCACGTCGCTACTCGCGTAATCTCCGCTCTCACGAGAAGCCCTTGAATGCGTTAAGGGTATAATCGTCGGCGGATTATTATGACCCTGAGGAACGATGAGGCCTCGCATCGTCGATGTCGCACCTTTCCTCGAGCGATCGCGCGGCAAGCTGATGTCGCCGGCTGTTCGAAGAGAGATCACACCCTCGCCCCGAGTCTCCGGCCTCATATTCAGCGTGAAACATACCCTGATGTTCGATCGTGTTATTTAATCGCAACGGATAAATGTTGTTTCTTTTTTTTTCGTAATTTACAACTACTCAGATCTGACGACGAGCTGTCAAGCGATCGAATTTGTCGCCACGATAATAATAGCGAGACTCCCGGTTTTATTTGACACTGCGAAAGCGTTACCTTCCATTCTGGATAGTCGCGGTAGGTACCGGACCGCCGCTAGCCCCCATAAGAAAGTCCTCGGGATCCGACTCATAAGGCGGCTCGTCGTACCAATGACCGCCTGGTCCGGGACCTAAACCACCTGCACCTCCGCATCGCGCGTCTTCATCGTACATGTACGTGTCATCTGCGAATTATCGGTTTGCTCTCTGATTTGCGAAACGTTGGAACTGACATTTCCAATTAGAAATTAAAATAACGTCAGCTTTGTGTATGTGGCATCCTACCAGATTTTGCAAAACTCAAATGTAGCGGAAGAATAACTTCGACAAGTCTAAGCATTGGAGCTGATTATTATTAGACTATTAGTCTGAGCATTAAAGAAGAAGGAAGCATTTTTGATCGCGGCTATTAGAAGAAAAGTAATAAATAAACGTTCGTGTATCACGATATATTAATACCTTCGCAAATGCACTGACAATTATAAAACCGGATATAAAATATTAATCATGAATGCCGAGTTAAATTACGTTTAAGGACAACAGACTTAGAAATTTAGATCCTCTTTTTGTGCAGAAACCTGGGAATGACAAGCGTGCATGCGATTATGCGAAGGAAGAGAGAGACGGAGGTAGCAAAGAGAGGGTTTGGAAAATGAAGATGGCGGGTACTAACAATAACGAGATTAGTTCGCGTACGCGAGGGGTTTCGCGTCGCAATCGTGCCACGGCAGCTTTATGAATAGGAAATAAAACCACCGCAGTGATGATAAATCGACAATAAAGAGCATAGAGCATATTCTATTCACGCTGGAATTTGTAAAATAACATTATTCGCTCATTGCAATTACACTCTATCTTTAATTATTCTCTATTATACAAATTCATGCGTTATTAGTTTCACAAGTACTTCTTTGTTTCATTATTTAACTTTGAACGTTTGAGAATCTCACGTACATTTTTAATGCAATATAAATAAATATCGAATCATATGTGAAACAGGCTTTTACTACAGTTACATTGGATTATTTATTTGCCGCGAGCATATATTTCGTTACGATAATAAAACTAATAAAGTTTAAAACGATATAAACTGATGTAATATGAACATACTAATGTTACCGTTAATAAATTTTATATAAAAATAATAATGCCGAATAAAAAATTAATTGTAATTATCTCTCGAGCGTCTAATAAATATAATCGTTACATTTCAATAATTTCCTTCAATAATAATATAAATCACATAGCAGTTCGATTTCGAATTCAGTCACGATACGTGATATTCGTGAAATAACGTTAGATTGTTTATTGCGATGAATATTTCCACATGCCCCGGTGGTCGAATTGATATTAAAATTATTTAGACATTTAACATCCCGTCTCGGCTCTTATTCCTTTTTTCTTTCGACTGTGATTTTACATTAAGGCCTTATGAATTGATTAATTGTGTAAATCATATAATTTTCTTGCACACAATCTCAGAGACCCGACCTTTCTCACTACATTTCAACTCGCATTATTGCTCATATTTTATTCCATCTTCTCTTTAACACTCAATGTTAATTGGACAAACTGTGTATAGAAAAAGCTTCTTCCCGCCTCATTTCCCGCTGCTCTCTTTGCGAGGCGTAGATATCATTTCGGCGCGCCTTCGTTTTATCGTAAAAAGCTGCTGAGGCTACGGGGAGCGAGATTTCGTGAAAAAGACTACGAGGGGAGCCATCAGGAAACGAATGCTCAAAATGAGTCTCGCGAGAGTGAGCAGCACATACGAGGTGTCAGGCATTTGGGAGTCGATTCTCATACCGGCTGGCACGTGCGCGTTTTGTTCAACGTGCACACGGTCACATTGTCGCGCACACGTACGGACCTACATAGACACAGGGGTGCAGAGAGGGGGCGGGTTATAGGTCGTGGAGAGACGAGGCGACAACTAGCTGGAGGTTGGTCCTTGATGTACTTACCCCCAGGGAGCTGACCCCGTCCGTCTCGTCCTAGCTGCATTAAACCCTGCCGGATATCCCTCAGTATCTGAAACAGCACAATGTCGACGTCGTGAGTAAACGTTTATCCGGCATTGTGATTAAAACTGCTATTAGCCGCGCTCGCCCCGGTGTTTGCATACCGCGGGATTGCTTTCGTCGATTTCAGCGTGGTCTCGCGGGAATATCGAACGGCGAGCGCCTGTAAGATTGATCGCGGAATACGCGACGCGAAAATCGCCGGTTTAAAAATCGTACCGGGACAAAGTGATTTTATATTATGGAAAATTTGCTCTTCCCATTAGTTAGCTAATGAGAAGTGAAAGGAAGGTATCGATTTTCGAGTTGCCATTAAAGGCGCGCTCTTACGTATTCTATAAGATTACATTGTACGAAGGTACATGATGGCTCGTGTGATTAAATGAAGATGATGATCCGATATAATCGATGCGGAAGAGAACTCATTATCCGCGATCTCTCATCACGCAAGAATACTTGCAAGTTGATTTTTATGTCTTCTTGTTAGAGCGAGTTTATTAAATTTAAGCGCGACGATCAGGTTTAATCCTCGAAGTCATCGTGCACATTAGTACAAAATCTATAAAATGTTATTCAAATACGCCACAATATCTCGTTAAACTTTGTAGCACGTCCAAGTATCGCTTCCGCGCAAATTGCGTTTCTACGTAACTAATTGAAGCGATGGCGCGCCTAAGGACTGAACTTGATGCCGGGAGATGCCCGGCCGCCGGTAGCGCGTAATCACGTGTAATCTAAACGGTATTACCGGGAACTTACATGCGCGGGTTCTTTCACGGTGGATAATCGCCGTTATCCGGCCAGTGTTGGGACCACCATCGATGGTTTTGAGATCTTCGCGGCCGCGTGGCGGGGCGAGGGGATGAAAGAAAGGATAAAAGGGAAAGAGGAACTGTGTACATATATCGCGGTTTTTCTACGGTCGACGACCGCGAGCCCCCTCATAATCGGTGGAACAAAACGAAAAGCGATTATCGGTCAGGATGTTGCAGACGTAATGCCCTGATGAGGGACAGCCCGGTCGAAGGTAGTTTCCTGGGCGAGAAAAAAAAGGCCGGAATAGCAGCCAGGGCGGAAGAAGATGAGGAAGCGGAGGAGGTTGCCGAGGTGGTCGCCTGCGGCCGCGTCGGTCCCTACCGAACCGAAGTGGAGGCCAAAGCGGGGGAGCGCGAGCGGCAGCGAAGGGAGGAGAACAGGAAGGACGCGGTGGAGAGAGCCAGGGAGAGAAAGAAAGAGGAGATTCTCTAGGGGGCAATAAACCCACGAAGGTAGAGGTGACACTAAAACTTTTACACGGATAGCGACCTTTATTTCCATATTGCTCGCAGCCTCAAAGGAGCATGGCCGCTTTATTTCTTCCGACGGTCCTCTCCTTCGGTATCTCCGCCCTTTTCTCATTCTCGCCCCGATCCGCGCTCCCGTGCTGCCCCGAACTCGCGCGCGGCCCGCGACGCCGCCGCGGTTTTAGGCAATTTCAGCGGCTCTTTCTCACGCGGCGCCTCTCCTTAAAACTTCGCAGAATTCCGCGAAGCTTACGTTCGCGTAATTAAAACTCCCGACTCGCGCCGTTACGACGTTCGCGCCGTCGCCGTCTACTTTTACGCGCGCGACCCTTCGCCCTAATGGGCAGTTTTTGGCAAGCAGCGACAGTAAAGAAGAGAGTCTCCTTTCGCACGGGGAGAGATTTGCAAGGATACGCGCCGCACGTAACGAGCCGCAAGCTGCGGCTACGGCTGCGACGCTGCGGCGTTACTCTCGATGTTGTTACGTGCGAAGCGTGTGTAATGCTCGGGAATTCTCTCGCGTGAAGCGACGCGTTATACACGCGTGCACCCGCTTATGCATGAGCCGCACGGTACACATGATTGCACCGAAACGGTCCCGTTTCACGTCGAAACCGCCACTTTTCCCTCATTACTGGGTATCTTTGGAATTTGCAGGATATTCCGCGTATGCCGTTACGTCTGTTATTTCCTACGTAGAGACAAGTTTTTTTTTACTCAATTTCATTTCTACTTTGTTTTCGTGAAAATCTTTTCGCGCGCAACACCAACTATCTTAAGATACGAAAATTTTTTACGCGGGGGTAAATTTTATCTCGCATTCGAAAAAGAATAAAATACTCTTGTTTACCGACGTGAAACTTAACTTTAGAAAAGTTTTATATTTTCGAGATATACTCTTGCTTTTGTATGCACATTACGCAAATCGCAGTAAAAATTTAACATGCCCTCGCTTTCAACAATTGAATTCTCTTATCAGAAAATTGTAAAATCGCGGTGACCAGAATAGATGAGCCAGCAAATAATAGCATCGTGGATGAGAGAAACTGAGAAGAGAAAAGACTTCAATTTTTATACAACACGTGCTATACGAACTTTTTAACGGAGTTAATTTTTTAATAAAGCTGCGCGCGCGACATCACCCCGAGTGTCCCTTTCAAGTAGTTAATTTAGTCCGCCCTCTGTGGTCTCCTTTATATATATTTCTCTATACCGCAGATAAATTAACGATGATAAATTCTTTGCCGAGGATTATTATGAAAAATTGACAAGGGAAGGGTATTATTTACCAAAGTTAATCTTAGAAGAGATCAGATCGGCTGAATCAGAGATTTATAATGAAAAGGGTTGTTTATTAAAATTTTCATAGACGCTCCGTGGAAAGTTAGCCGATCGATTTTATCAAAGTTATTCTATCCTGATAATTCTCACGGCTTTCTACGTTTTACTGAAATTTTCAAGCCTAGCGTTCATCGAATTGTTCAATGCCGCGCACTGATTAATTAATCACACTGTAAAAAAGGATGTAAAATTACATACATAACAAGTGTAGCGATTACACCATTAATAACGAAAAGATATAAATTTATGTACTTTTACAAAAAGATTTTTTCCTCTTTGTTGTGTAAATACTTGTTTATGTATGATAAAAAATTGCAAAAAATTGTAAAGTTTACACAATTAAAAGCAAGCATTTAGTAAATGTGGCCAGCTGAGGTCAATTGACAATTGAAATTTTATTATTACTAATACTGGCAATCTGAAGAAACATACTTGTTAAACGCAAGCAGTTTACTTATTATATGAGGTAATAAGTTTGCCTACAAGGTGTAAATTGATGTATATAAATGTACACCTTTAATAGATGGTCCCAATATTACACACTATAATAATAGTAATTTAACATGTAATTTTGTTTACAGCGCACATTTGCTTTACTTGAACCAAACCACACCTATAGATCAAACGTTACCAGTGTTAAACAGCGTAACCCAATACGCGATGCGTATCCCTTACGGTCCGCGATTGCACGCGCAAAGCAAGAAATGATGCAGAAACTTTCACGCTGGACGGGCGCACGATGCGAAACCACGCGGCGGAAAATAAGAAAAGCACGAAACACCGGTGCGCGTATATCGCGAGATCGTGCATAAGGAATTCACGACGCAACGTCGCGGTACGCATTGACGATTATGATGATATCACGCTGATCTGGCTACTTTGCATAATAAGAGGTATCGAGTTGGCGAAAGACAGTCAGAGGAAGGGGGTTGGTAGGGAGGGTACGACGAGCGGGGAACGAGCTCGCGCGCACGTGAAGAGGAGGGGGAGAGTCGAGGTCTCGGTGATAGCACATACATGCAAATTTCGTCCTGCGAGAATTCCGATGCGGGAGGCAGGATTGTATCGGATAAGAGAGGCCACCGGCTCCCAGGGCCAATATCAGTCGAACAAGAAGAGGGTTGCCGATGATCTAACGCGCGCGGGACGGGAGCTGCGGGAAGAAAATAAACGGGCCGTGGCGCGCGGTTTGGTTTAATCGCGATAAGACACCGCGCCCGTCCTTATCGCGATCGGCCACGTACGATAACGAAAATTGTCGCTCGCGCGCGAAACGCGGGACGTGAGCGCCCGCGCGCGAAATGCGGCGGGGTATATCCCTTCAACGGAAGCGCCGCTTGGCAATTTAAAGGGAACGGAAACGGGGACAAAACTCCCCATTTGCCGAGGGATCGGGCGGATTTAATCGCGAGCGCGGCTGCGGGCGGCACCGAGAGACGCCGTCGGATCGCGTCGGCATTGGCCCTCCCGTCCCCGCGCGAGTCACAAATAAGTTTGTTAGCGAAAACCGAAGATAAAAATTTCATTACGAAATTGGGCGATAGAGATGGACTTAAGATTTGCACTCACCTCCTCGTGCTCTTTGTGAAACCGCTCTTTCTTTCGCAGCGCCTCTTGAACTTTCAGCTGAAAAATGCAAGGGGATGGAAGCGTTTCTTAAGTTTCGTTTAAAAAGGTTTTATCGACGGTAAAGCGACTTTCTCGCGAGAGCGACTTGGAGCATTCCAAGTGAATTCAAGAATCACGATTGTATAAGAGCAAGCGTAGCTTTCACTCGAAAATTTTAACGTTACTAACGGAAACTTATTGTATATTATCCATCTTTACTTTTCGACAAAAAATATTTTAAGAGTTATCTGATGTTGAAGAAAATAACAGCCACAGAGCGTCTTAAATATTATAACTCGAATAAATGTAATTTAGTGCTATTGAACATTATTTTACAGAAGTAAAACGTGACTTACCCTGTGAATGGTTTCTTCGAAACTATTTGGTTGACCGCCGTTCATCTGCAGATACCTCAATCGATCGTAATCTCGAGGATCCACCATCGAACGAAGAATCGTGTGTCCCATGTCGGGTCCGAGACCCAAACCGCTTTGTAGAACACTGTCAGGCGTGTCTACCTGTAAAGACAATGAAAAGCACAGTTGAAACTACCGAGGTAAACGTGATTATTTTAACAAATTATTACAAATTAACTAAATATTCACAAAAGTCGAAAATATACGCGTAGACAACATTTTTATACTGTTATTACGACAAATATTATCATATGCCTCGGTGGTCGAATTGATGAGACGCCTGCCTAGAGTGTAGGGAGGTCCAGGTTCAAACCCTGGCTGAGGTAATATTTTTCGCAATAAATTTTCTGTACTATTAAAGATGCCAGTCTCAAGAAAACACTGACGCTGTTAATTACCGCTGGCGACATTGAAGAATTCTGATTAGTTAACTAAATATTGTCAAGAGAAATGCATTTCCGTTGGCCGAGTCAAATTGTTTCTGTTTTATCTTAGACATAAGAGAGAGAAATGTAAAACACACAAATTAATAAAATTTGTACGGCTTAAATGCGATAAACACAAATTTGAAGGAACAAAGGACTAAGAGCCGTGACAGGGTGTTAGTGTCTAAATATTTCATTCTAAATTTATTGCGAAAAAATATCACCTCAGCCAGGGTGTGAACCTGGATCTCCCTCTATAAAACACACAAGTCGTGTATTTTTAGCTCAATAGGGTTGAGACAAACAATTAGTTTAAGACAAACAAAACGTATAAGTCAGCACCTCGATCAGCACTATAAAAATTTACATAATCAACAAATTCGCCTCGGTGAGACACCTTCGGTTGGCAGCAGTCGGAAGTGGAGAGGTATTGCTCATAGAAATTTTGTATATCAATCTGGAAAAAATGTAAGTCACGTCTCGATAACTTCCTTTTTCTTTCAGATTCGTGTCCCCTTCTATATTTCTATCTTCTATCTGTCTATCTATCTTCTCTACAATGTAATGTTACGCAAATTACTTTTGCGCGGAGAGTTGAATTTATGCGAACGTCGTGAAATAATGAGAGTTATAATCGTAGTCAAGACATTGATTATAAATGATCGTTTGTAGAGATCCTCGCAATAGTTTATTGCGATCGTCGTGCAAATCCGCCTTCGCGCGGATACATTTTCGTAGGGAGACGTAGCATTCCCTTTCATAGAGCATCTCCTATTCTATAGAATGTCGGGGCTCCTTAAAAGCGGCTGCCATTTATTCTCGCGACGTTCCTGCCGCTAATGGGGCTCGTGCATAAGATATTCAGGACGCGGCGAGGGTCGCCATGGAGATCGTCAATTTCTCGTTCTTCAGTCCCGCGGGAAGAGAGTGAAAGAAGGAGAGAGGGAAAAGAGGAAATACACGACGCCGTGTATTTTGGAAAAAACGTAACGCGAGATTCTAATCGTGCGGGCGAAACGGGCGATGCTACGGGCGCTGCGTTAGCCGAATGATTAAGTAGAAGCCCGAGAGTTTCGTTCCCGCGGTAACTTGAAGACAAAGCCCTCAAAGTATTTACAAAGGACCACCTCTTCTACGAGATTAGCCTGAGTAGGGAAATTCATCTCCCTTTCCTTACTATTTTAAGCGCGTCTTCACCACCGTCGTCGTCGTCGTCGTCATCATCGTCGTCGTTGTCGTTATTGCTGTAGCGTCGCCTTACAACGAACCATCTCCGTAGTGGAGGAATGGTTGAAGGTGAAAATTATCGCGTCGACACTCTGTAAATGCAGCCTATAGAAATTATTTCATACAGTGCCTTCAAGTCATTGTTACTGAAGTGGTACAGAGATAACCGAGCAAATTTGTTTGTAATATCAATTGTGTCACTGCAATTCTATATGAATATTTTCTACTAAAAAATGTGTTCTGAAAGTTACAACTGCAAAGCATTGCGATAAGATTTAATAATATTCAGGTGCTTGAAAGAATTCGCGTACTGAATATAGTCAAAGTATTCATATGTGCTATTACATAAAATTCGATGCTGAAACCTGTTTTTTTCTCAAAAGAAATAATTTTGTATCATTTTCCATGTCACGTTTTTAATTTATTTATGAATAAAATTATTTTTTTAACAAGGCTCAGGTTCTTCCATTCCTCTCTCTACATATCACGTTTCCTAGTTCTCCTTTTAGAAGAGATTTATGTATAGAACTATTCCCATAAAATTCATCAATTTGATAAAGCCTCAAAATTTCAAATTTCTGAATAAGTTATGTAAAAAGGTATTAATATGCTAATAGAGAGACGAACGCGTATAAAGTAGTGCGCCTCGCGTATCTCGGTATAAATTAATGAGTTATCGATTTTCATAGGTGGTTAATAGAGCCGTGATTAGAATATCGCGAATGATACGGATAACAAAGTGCCAAGAGCGAGATATAGAATTAATTTTACTTGCAACACAACTGAGACAACGTAATAATTCAACTAGTACTCTTTATTCTGGTGAAAAAAGAACATGTATCTATAATTGGAATAATTTATTATCTTGACTCTTTTAAATGCGCTCTCTAAAAGTCAATCAGTGCATCATAACTGTGAATCAGTGAATATTCATTGTTTTCCGTGATAATCCGCTGATTGACTTTTACACCCGGTTTCACCGACGACGTTTAACTTTAAGCTTAGCTTGATTCGTTCTTTGTCTCCTTCCAACTGTTACTCTAGACAAACATGAATTAAACTAGGATTAAAGTTAAGCGACGTTTGGTGAAACCGAGTCTCAGAGAGTAAGAGGTCAATATAAGAAGTTATCTTTTTCGTCCTCCAAGCTTTTATCCCTTTTCGTAGCTCAAGTTTATATAATCGAATGAAGAAGCGACCCGTTGCGAACAAATATCGACCCATCGCGCATCGGTAATCTCGATGCCTAAGGAAGAAAAAGCCGTGTTCCGCAGGCACAACGCCGGGACGATTACCTTGCGGTGCGCGATTTAATTAAACCACGTGGTATTTATGTTAAACGGATTAGAACCGTTTGTTTGCGCTCGCAGACTGAGCTCCTCCACGGTCGCGGCTGTAGCATCCACTAAGCCTGAATAATACCTAGAGACAAGGCTGAGAATTTACGTCGCTCCCCTGTTTACCGGCATGATGTTGACTTTTTCCTCTGGAGCGGACGACGGAGAGCGGAATAACCAAAGAAATCCCAAAACCCTGGAGATGCGTTTTAAACGCATGCTTTATCCGCGAATCTCTCACGGTAGTCTATGTAAGCTTCTGATACGACGATGTTATCGCGGATTACTGTCCTTTATGGTATGCCTTGGAAGACGAGTACGTATCGCGATGTCTCCTTTGTATTACAAAGTTATCTTAGAATTGTCCCGTAATCTGACATCGTTGCGCCGTCCGCTCCGCGTAATCTATTGAAATCATTTTCCAATTACGGCTCTTCTCTTTATCGCCATTTCAATGGTATTACCTTCCTTTCAAGTAGCATCATACAATCGTATATTTACACAATTTAAGTATTTCAGCTTCGGCAAGGTTAGCAGCCTACCGAAGATGAAGTAAAACCAAATGCTCGAAGTGCCAGAACGAACTGGGTAAAACAGGCTTCAAGCCTAATACACGAGGAAGAGAGAGCGAGAGAGAGGAAAGTATTTCAGAATGACGTTAAACGTCCGCAAAGATTCGCGACGAGTTCTCGATTGGGCGGACGTTAAACAGCCCGGCAGATTCCCACGGCAATCACGCGCAACGAATACTCCATATGATAACGAGTGGATTCCGTTGCGCCTACGTTCGTGCCTCGTCGCGAGTTAAGGAGCGCGCGGCGGTCTACAGATACAAATAGCAGTCGCTCCGAGAAACAATTTTGCCCATTCATCTACCGCGGTAAGATCGACACGGTAATACATCTCGTCTGGAAATAAATGTTGCGATTGCGAGTACGCGAACGCGCCCCGTCTTGGTACGCGGCTGATTTCCATCAGTTAGCGTCCGACCTGCGCGACTCACCCGGCCCTTCCGGTCCCTCCCGGAACGAGACCGGCGTAGGGCGCGAAAGATTAAGCGATCGCTCTCCTTCGCCGTTACGTAAATCACAATAAACCCGTCGCAGCCCGTGCAGCCCGGGATAAATGGCGGAACGTACGGCGTGCGTGCGGGGAGATCTGTGTTAGCTCGCTCGAGCGGAGGCTGGTGTCCGAGGGGATGGACCGCTCACGCGCGCGATCGACGGCGAACGGAGCGACGAGCAGTCAGGAAGAGGCACGAGAGGAGAGTAGCGGGGGGGGGGGGAGGTGACGCGAGGGTGGAGAAGGGTCAGAGCAGCGTGTATATTTTTAAGGCCAAGCAGTTAACTGGCCACCTGGGGCGGACTCTCCTTACAGGATCGGTTTATAGCCGCTCTCAGTCAGCCGCGCCGTGCCGCCTACCGGTTAATTTATCCCGGCATTGTTATTGCCCCAACGCGGCCTCCGAGAGAGGGGAAAAAGAGAGGCGGAGAGCCGCCGCACCTCGCCGGACCGAGACAGATGCGCCGCCACGTAGCGTCGTGACAAACGCAATTAAGCATCTCACGACTTCCTGCACCGAGAGAAACCTGTAATCTGGTCATCTAGCCAACTCCGTAGACTCCTACCGGGGAACGCCCCGCGGCACGGGATCGCCGTAACAGGCCGCCGGCTGTTGCACGGAATGCACCTCCGAGACCTTCGTTCGCCGCTCCGCTCCGCGGCGACAGTGGTCGTTCCCCGCCGGAGCGGGACCCATCCGGATCGCCTCCCCGTGCGACCCTTATCAGGAACCGAACCTGATTTACGAACACGGTCCGGTCGAGTAACGGCACCGGCGACGTTAAACTGCTGCGATTTGTTTCCCCGGTAATAACGCCGCGTTCCGCGAGAGAGAGAGAGAGAGAGAGACGACGACGATCGCGTTTCAGGTGCTAGAGAAGCGGACGAGGCCGCTCACCTACGGCGACTCGCCTGAATGAGAGACTGAATTATCGGTTCCTCTTAAAATTACATTCAAGAAAGATGTGTACCGCGGGACAGGCGCGCGCGAGATTGAATTTACCTCCTCGAAAAACGCGCCGTTAGTCAGCCTTTGTGTAATGAAACTTAA